GGAGATGAAGCTGATGTCGCCGCTGAGGTCAGGGCTCCAACGCGGCGGTGAGTGAACATCTGAACCAGCATCCTGTCAGAGTGGGCGGGGCTAAAGTCAGCTGGGAGATGATGTGAACAAAAGGCCGAATTGTAGCGCCCGGCCAGGCAGTTTGTTCTCAGAGCCGGGCGCCGTGACAAAGACCGACCGAAGCGTTCATCTGATCCCAGCTGGCTGGAGGTCACCTGAGCAGGCGGTCAGACCGCGGTGACCTGATCTGGATCTTTGTGGCTTCTGGTTTGCAGTGGGCGGAGTGTGAACTGGTGACGCTGACGTGTCTCCTCCTTTCACAGGCGCTGGAGGACGAGCCCTCGCCGTCGGGCTCTGGTGACGAGCGGTTTCACGCCGGACGGGCCGGAACCTGCAGCTGGACGCGAGCTGAACTGTTGTGCAGAGGAAAGTTTGTGTATCTGAATTTTCCTGTAAATCAGTCGCTCATGTTGCTTTTCAATAAAGACGTAAACTGGACCTGATGTTTGTTCTGTTAAGCGTGAGAGGAACCTTCAGTTTCACAGGGTCTGCCAGGCTGCAGCAAGACCACCTGCTGCTCGGAGGACCAGATCAGGGCTCCTGGAGTCCTGAACAGCAGAACTTTAAGTGATGGATATAAATCAACAGTCTGATCAGTGACGTGCTTTACAGACTGTTGTGTCCTCAGCTGGGGGTCCTGGGTGGTGATGCTGTCCAGGAAGGGAAGTGTAGTCCACTACAGTCTCCACGGTCTGCCCCAGGTGGTCCAGGTTCCATGTTGACTGAGCCCAAACCACAACAGGCTCTCTGGTTCTGTTTCAGATCTTTATAAATAAACTCAGTTGCACATGATTTTAAAAAAAAAAGAGGCCAGAAAACGCTGCAGCTACAACACCATGAACAGACTAGAATTAAAGCTGCAAGCAGCGTTGGGCGGGCCCTCGCACTTGTAAGCGCGTCCGCGCGTGAGCCGGCCGAGTTGCACATTCTGGAGCTCTGCCGGTGCGGCTGTGAATTTCCTACGCGGTTCCGACGCCGCATGAATGTGCTATATGTCACTTCCTGTGTCCCCTATGTGGAGCTACATAGCACTTGCCGCTATGAATATAAATCGGTATTGACGTGTAGATGTCTGCGGGGTGGGAGAGTTATCAAGCACGTAAAGTTTGTTTCAGATGTGAACATGTACACTGAACAATAATGTACCCAAACAATAAAATAAATTCCTTTTATATTTCCCTGCCTTGTTGTTTATGTGTACATACAGAGGAAGAATGTGAGAACAGCACACATTTCATCGTTACTGTGTGTTAGAGCATGGGAGAACAGTGGATACTTTTAATACAGCCCACACCCCTAATACTGTGTAACTATAACAAGTAGAGAACAGAAGAAAAAGATGTTCTTTCTTTACAACTGTCTGCATAGCTTATTCATATTGTGTAATGAATGAAAATAAATAGGCCTACTAGGCTCCTCTCTACTTTGACATTTAAGATTAGCTTGTTTGATCCACCTTCATACACATGTGACATTACTGTACAACTTGAGAAAGGTGAGTTGTTTTCTGCTCCAGCCTGCCTAAAAGAAAAGCATTTTTGGGATTAAATGGACTTTATTAGCTGCTGCAGTGCAGGATGAACTCAGAATAGACCCATTTCTCACCTTATTATTCTAAATCATGCAACGAAGAAGAAGAAATGCATAAGAAATCCTGGGACAAAATCTGTCCACAAATACTGTACAGCATGTAGTCTGATGATCAAGACTTGTGTTATATCTGACTTGGGCAGTGAAATGTTTTTTTAATTCATGTGGTCATAGTTGTCCACAACTCAAATCAGAATATAAGAAGAAATGTTTTATACCACCTCAAGAAGGCTTCCTATCAGAAAGGTAGGAAGGTATTTCAAATGTACAACTGCAGCACTTAAATCTAAGTAAAGTAATTTCCCTGACATTTTTGTGTTACTTTACTTTTAATAGACCCATGTAAGAGGTTTTATACTTCCTGTGAGTATAATCCAATCAATCTTATTTTCATACTGTATATCCGTTGTGTAATTTGATAAATTGTGTTGTATGTCGTGCTCGCATCTCAGAGAAGACTCTGACTGCAACATGCGTCTTTGTAAAGAGAGAAACAGACAGAAAAAGTCTCTAACTCTGCCTGTCAGCTCGCTCTGCTCCGTTAAAACTGAATTTACCATACAGAATTGAATACGAGTGCACTCCAGATTTAGCTGCAGCCAGCTGACCGTGTGCTTCTCCCTATACCACAGTTCTGTGTCCATGCATGCAGCAAACTGAAAGCACTGTCTGTCGGAGCGTCTACGTGAAAAGAGAAGGAAGACATTGCTGGTAGTATTGTCTTCAGAGTTGTTAAACACCTCAGCGCACTGAAGGAAGCCATCTGACTGTGTGAGGGGCAAGATCGTTGATGTCTGCAGGCAGAGTAGGAGCTCTCCTGTCTGACTGGTCCACCAATAGCAGAGAAGATGACCCCTTGAGACACAGCCCCTCCTCATTTGCATAATGAGGCAGAAATGCATACAAAAATTTAAAAAAGACAGGCAGAAATAAATACCATGGGTGAAAATAAATAAGGTAAATAAATACAAAGGAAGAATAAAACAGACAAAAATATTAAAACACACACATAAATAAATACATTAAAAAAATTAGTAATAAATAAAGTTGAATAAACAAATAAGGTAATTATAACAAAGGTGAATAAGTAAAGGCACTAATTAAAATATATACATTTATGTCTCCTTGTATAATTTAATTACTACCTACATTTATTTATTTACTTTATTTTTTTGTGTATTTAATTGGATGCTTATTTATTTATTGAGCATTTATTTATTTCTGTATTTATTTCTGACTGTGTCAGGATCGGTCCTCCATAGCGGGGTGGGAGAGTTATCAAGCACGTAAAGTTTGGTTCAGATGTGAGCATGTACACTGAAGTTACAACAACTTCCTGTGTCATGGCGAAGACTTGATCTCTGACGCCACGCCACGGACACACCCATTGACGAAAACTCGCAAATAGCACAACTTTCATCTTCAATGCCTTTAGAAGGCACAGCACAAATTTGAAGTCGGTCGGACTAAATCCCTAGGAGGAGTTCGTTAAAGTACGAAGTGTGTAAATCATCCAAAATTTGACGTAAAATTCAAAATGGCCGACTTCCTGTTGATTTTAGGGCATCGCTCCAAGAGGCTTTTTTGTGCGTCTGGACAAGATACATGTACCACAGAAAATTCGTGCACGTAGGTGAAACGTGCGGCGGGGGCTGCTTCGTTAAAAGTCACTTCCTGTTGCCAGCAGGTGGCGCTATGACTGTCTGTGAATGTCAGCATGTACATGTGTTCAGGGCGGGACTCTCATCCTACATGTACAGTTTGGTCCAGATGTGAGCATGTACACTGAAGTTACGACAACTTCCGTGTCATGGCGAAGAGCTGATCTTTGACGCCACGCCACGGACACGCCCATTGACGAAAACTTGCAAATAGCACAACTTTTCATCTTCAATGCCTTTAGAAGGCACAGCAAACATTTGAGGTCGGTCGGACTAAATCCCTAGGAGGAGTTCGTTAAAGTACGAAGTGTGTAAATCATCCAAAATTTGACGTAAAATTCAAAATGGCCGACTTCCTGTTGATTTTAGGGCATCGCTCCAAGAGACTTTTTTGTGCGTCTGGACAAGATACACGTACCACAGAAAATTCGTGCACGTAGGTAAAACGTGCGGCGGGGGCTGCTTCGTTAAAAGTCACTTCCTGTTGCCAGCAGGTGGCGCTATGACTGTCTGTGAATGTCAGCATGTACATGTGTTCAGGGCGGGACTCTCATCCTACATGTACAGTTTGGTCCAGATGTGAGCATGTACACTGAAGTTACGACAACTTCCGTGTCATGGCGAAGAGCTGATCTTTGACGCCACGCCACGGACACGCCCATTGACGAAAACTTGCAAATAGCACAACTTTTCATCTTCAATGCCTTTAGAAGGCACAGCAAAAATTTGAGGTCGGTCGGACTAAATCCCTAGGAGGAGTTCGTTAAAGTACGAAGTGTGTAAATCATCCAAAATTTGACGTAAAATTCAAAATGGCCGACTTCCTGTTGGGTTTAGGCTATGGCTCCAAGAGACTTTTTTGTGCGTCTGGACAAGATACACGTACCACAGAAATTCGTGCACGTAGGTGAAACGTGCGGCGGGGGCTGCTTCGTTAAAAGTCACTTTCTGTTGCCAGCAGGTGGCGCTATGACTGTGGGTGAATGTCGGCATGTACATGTGTTCAGGGCGGGACTCTCATCCTACATGTACAGTTTGGTCCAGATGTGAGCATGTACACTAAAGTTACAACAACTTCCTGTTTCATAGCGAATCATCAACGCCACGGACACGCCCATTGACGAAAACTCGCAAATAGCACAACTTTTCATCTTCAATGCCTTTAGAAGGCACAGCAGAAATTTGACGTCGATCCGACAAAATCCCTAGGAGGAGTTCGTTAAAGTACGAAGTGTGTAAATCATCCAAAAATGGCCGTAAAATTCAAAATGGCCGACTTCCTGTTGACTTTAGGCTATGGGTTCTTGAGGCTTTTTGTGTGTCTTGATACGATACATGTCCCCAGAAAATTTCGTACATGTAGGTTGAACGTGAACGAGGGGCTAATTTTTTCCAATTTCTAGGTGGCGCTAGCGAGTCATTTTGCAACGCCCATGTGCGAAACTTGTAGAATACGAAATTTTTCACCGGTTCTGAGATGTTTGCAAATTTTGGTGAGTTTTCGAGAATGTTTAGGCCATGTCAGTTGAGCCTACTTTGCAGAAAAAATAAAAAATAAAAAAAAAAAATAATCCGAGCAAATTCAATAGGGACCTCACACGGTCGTGCTCGGGCCCTAATAAAGAGTGCTGAGACCTTAGTCCTGGATCTGTAGGGCAGCGGCCCCCCTTCACTGTAACGGGACGGCGCTGCTGCTCTTCGGTAGGTGGCGCTGGTGCAGCTGTGACCAACATTAAAACACAGAAGAAGAAAGCGCGGCTGCAGCAGCCGCAGAAGAAGAAGCTGTTCGCTCCTCGGGACCAGCGGTCCGGTTTATTAACGGACACACGTTGATCCAGCAGCGGAACCGGCGGGATGGACACCGACACGGCTTCACCGGTAAACGCAGCGCGCGCCCGCCGTTCCTCCTCCGCCCGGAGAGCTCCACACCGGGGCCGTTAGCGGCGCTAAGCTAACGCAGCTAACCCGCAGCCCGCCGCCGAACTCCATTTAGAAACCGGCACAGAAAAGATCCTCCCGCTGCTCCGGGTCCACACGTCCCCCCGCCGGACCCGAACATGACTGAAGGTGTTTTTACCGCCTCCGGTTCGTTCGGCACCAACAGAACCCTGATCCAGTTGGATCTGTTGGTGCCTGCCGGACCGTGAGGACTGAAGCAGGGCTCGGTTTGAACGAGCCGGACCAAAGAACTGGTTTTAGTCACGGGGCTGGAAGGTTAATCTGCCGCATGTCTCTGGACAGACTGTAAAGTGACCGGATTCTGAATGGAGTTCGGTTGGGGTTGTGTCCCTGCTGAGGGCTGGTGTGGAGGCCTGCGGTCCTGGTTCCTGACACTCGCACTCAGATCCCTTACTTCAGTCATAGTACTAATACTTCACCAGTACTCTGTAAAATGTTGTTACGGTTTCTGCCTCCTGGTCATTAAAGTGCAGCAGGATGCAGCTGCGGCTCATTCTGACCTGTTCAGACTGCAGCTGCTGACTCTGGATCAGTTATTAAGCTTCTGTTTCTGTTTGAGATGATTTCAACACGTTGAAACGATCTAGTTTTATTTAAAAGTTCAATCAGGAAAAATCCCAGCGGCTCCACTCTGGTCGGGCTCAGGGAGAAACTTTCTTTATCAGGTTGATCTGAACTCTTAAGCTGATGATACGCGGAGCAACTTTTAGAGCAATCGTGCAGAGCAGCGTTGCTGTCAATGGTAATGAGTAAAGATTACTACCGTAATCCTCTTCCACGCCACTCCGCCACCCGCACCGCCGTTACCCGTTCAAAACATAGTCGGACTTTCCACCAGCAACTTTAGGAGGCAAAATAACCAGATAGATTGGCAGACGTGTGGATCAGCAGCTGATCACCTGATGATTAAACAAACACGGACGTGTGGCGTTATTCTGCAGCCCAGTCTGACCCCCTGCGCTGGTTTCACTGGTTTCACTGGTGCGTCTCCAGCAGCTTCAGCACTTTATTCTGATGGAAACCTGCAGCAGCACTAACACTAAACAGACTGCTGCACGCCAACGCTGTAGCCCGACTACACGTCACAGAGACGCGGGCTGCCTGCGCTGTGATTGGTCCGTAGCCAACAGTAAATGCACCGTTTTACTTTTATTCACCTTCTTCCACCAGTGAGTTTTGGAGAAACGCACACTGATAGAGAAAACCGTCCTGTGAAATGTTCGGTGTGACCAAGAAAACATTTAGTGGCCCAAACCCCAACGTGGCGTCCTCAAACCCCAACGTGGCGTCCTCAAACCCCAACGTGGCGTCCTCAAACGCCAACGTGGCGTCCTCAAACGCCAACGTGGCGTTCTCAAACGCCAAGATTTTCAGGTCACCGTCACAGACGAGCAAAGAAACCAGGAAATCCTCAGATTTCCGAAGCGGGAATCCTGATCGATGACTTTAATATTCTGCCGCTGATGGATGATTCGCCGCAGCGTTATATTAGCGATGAGCTCTTTGGAGTTCAGCGGACGACCCGTCTGACCGTCTGCTTGTTTTTCAGGACGCAGCTGAAGACGTCCGGATCAAACTGGAGCCGGACGGCGACGTGGAGATCCAGTCGTATCCGGTCCTCAAGAAGCTGTCCGTCAAACTGACCGACTGCAGGGCGTTGCTGGATGGGCGGGACTTCCTGTCTCTTGGTGAGAGATCTTATATTTGCGACCTTTTGATTTAGAGAACTCTGGGGTTTCTGACCTCTGACCTCTGACCCCCTACAGACGAGCACCCTCAGCTCTGCCACCAGAGGCAGATCCACGCGACCAACACCGGCAGAAAGATGGTGTACTGCTCCGAGTGTCAGAGAGGGTTCTACAAGAGGTCTCACCTGGAGGCTCACCGGAGAACCCACCGGGGACAGGAACCCAACCAGTGCTGGCAGTGCGGGAAGACCTACCCGACCCTGATGAGCCTCGTGGTGCACCAGCAGATCCACGACCGCAAGGAGCCCTACCGGTGCTCCTACTGCGAGAAGACCTTCGCCCTGAAGCGGGACTGGAAAACCCACCACCGGACGCACTCGGGGACCAAACCCTTCAAGTGCTGGTTCTGCGGGGACGGCTTCAGCGAGCAGGACGAGCTCACCGAGCACCTGGAGGTGCACGAGGGGGAGAAGTGCTACCACTGCAAAGTCTGCGACAAGATGTTCGTCTCCTACCAGGGCTTCAACTTCCACCGCAAGTCCCACAAGAGCCAGAAGCTGCTGCCCTGCCTGAAGTGCAAGAAGACCTTCAGCAACCCCCAGAGTCTGAAGCTGCACCAGGTGACCCACTCCAACAGGAAGCCCCACAAGTGCCCCACCTGCGGCAAAGGCTTCAAGCTGCTGAGCGGCCTGCGGTGCCACCAGAGGACCCACGAGGACCTGAGGGACTACCACTGCACCGAGTGCGGCAAGTGCTTCTCCAGCCTGCAGGGCCTGAAGCTGCACAACCGCACCCACACGGGCCTGAAGCCCTACAAGTGCACCGAGTGCGGCAAGAGGTTCACCCAGTCGCCCCACCTCAAGTCTCACATGGTCACCCACACCGGGGAGCGGCCCTTCCTGTGCACCACCTGCGGGAAGAGGTTCACCCAGTCGTCCCACCTGAGTCCCACATCACGCTGTTCCACGTGGGCGAGAAGCCGTTCACCTGCGACGACTGCGGGAAGAGCTTCACCATCGCCCACTACCTGAAGATGCACCGGCTGAGCCACACCAAGGAGAAGCTGTACCAGTGCTCCTACTGCGAGAAGTCCTTCTCCTACCAAACTCCTGGAGGGCCCACGAGAGGATCCACACCGGCGAGCGCCCCTTCAGCTGCCGGGAGTGCGGCCAGAGCTTCATCACGTCGGGCTCGCTGCTGAGCCACCAGAGGTCCAAACACACCGGCGAGAAGAGCCACTACTGCATCACCTGCGGGGAGTTCTTCTTCACCAGCTCGCTGCTGCGGGTCCACCAGCTCGACCACACGGGCGAGCGGCCGCACGCCTGCAGCTGCGGCAAGACCTTCAAGACCAAAGGAGTGCTGCGCTACCACCTGAAGAGGTTCACCGACCACCAGCCGGCGAGTGAGCGGGGCCACGGCGGGGTCGGCCCGAGAGGCGAAGCGCAGACGCTGCAGGGTGCATGCAGGAGGGTAGTTACTGTCGGGCGTCCGCAGGGGGCGCTGAACACGTGTTGAATCTTCATCAGGCCCTCTGAGGGTCCAGAACTAAGTCAGAACCCAGAGAGACGCTGCAGAACGTCCCTGCAGAGTCTCAGTGAGAGCTGACTGCTAACAGCTGCAGCTCGTGCTGCTGGGGCCACAGTCGTGCTGCTGGGGGCCACAGTCGTGCTGCTGGGGGCCACAGTCGTGCTGCTGGGGCCACAGTGTCAGAAAGGTTTGGTGCTCAGCTAACGATGACATGAGTTTTCTGTCGGTTTCGGGTTTTTGAAGCTGCTTTACAGAAACTTTGTTTTGTGATCACTTCTTCATGGTTTTGTTGTTGTTCTGTTATAGAAATGATTTAAACTCCTCCTCCTGCTCCTCCTCCTGCTCCTCCTCCTGCTCCTCTCCGCTCTGCTTTTATGTAAAAGAGAACAAACACTAAGAAGTTCTGAAGCTGCAGGCAGAAACACCACAGAAGAAGAAGAGCGCCGGGAGGTTTAAAGTCGGTGTTAAAACAAACACGTGAAGCACTTCAGGTTTGGTGGCGTTACGGTCCAGCGGCTCACCTCTGACCTCAGAGCGCCACGTGTCATAGATCTGGAACGTATTGACCTGATTGGCCGGCAGGTGTTACAAAGAGCGTGACGACTGAATCAGCAGGACGTCTGTAGCTTTTGACCACGAAGGACTCGTTATCGTCCTGACGATCAAAGAGGCAGCGACAGGAAGTCTCTAACACTGACGCTGCGTTCACTCTGCGCGCCTGAATGACCGTCACAGCCTGAAAGTGATGTCACGCGCAGCACGCTGTCACAAACGTGTAGCCGCAGAGGTTCGCCCCCGTTAGCTCCTACCCGCTAACCCTCCTGGGTCACATGTCTCCGGATTTATGACAAACGCTCGCAACTTTCTGTCCGTCTCATTTCTGGTTCTGTACAGCGAGTATCGGCCCACAACTCTCTTTCCACCTGACAGGTAGCGTGCACGCCACGCGGAGCACTAACCAATCAGAGGCAAGGTTGTTGAACACAAAATAAGACTATCTGGCGTCCAGACTGAGGTCGTGTTTTGAATAAGAGGTCCGGATCAGATCCAGGTCGGGTTGATCGGAGTTCACGGAGCGGCGGTGAGCGACGACGCCAGGATGTCTTTCTGCTCGTCCTCGCCGTCACCTGCTCCCAGATTCTTTCCTCCACCTGAAATCCCCCGCCGGGTGCGTGTTTACCTCCGTACGACAGCGTGCTGCGTGTGACGCTTCGGTCTGATCTGCGCCACATTTAAACTAAGATGCGACCTGTCGGCGGACGCAGCTGTAAGGACCCGTTGGACCTGCGAGCGACCCGGTCCGCTCTGGTCTCACGTCGACATTCTTTGTGATGGTTTTTGGTTCCAGGAGCTCTGCAGTGAAATCAAACCTGTGAACTCATGGTCACGTTGTGTTTATCAATAAAAACACTGTACAGAACAAAGTGTCCTCAGTCTGTCCATCATCTGGAGGATAAACGGCCATTTTAACGTCTTATTTACAAAGACGACAAGGAGAAAACTAATAAAACACACGGTGTATAGACTTTGGTTTCACAGACCTTTAGTGTCTTTGGGGAAGTCTGGAAGAAAATCCACGTTCGTATGAAGAGTATAAAGTAAAGTCAAAGTATTTCTGGGCGGGAGGATAGAAACCAAAGTAAGGAACGGGGCCACGCCGACGACCTGAGGCCTGTTTCACAAAAGCAGAATTTAGAAATCCAGGATAAGAGATAAAGCCAGGCTGGACCTGCTGTGATCAGAGCGTCCTGGCTTCATAAAGGCCAAACCAGCTGAGGAGGGGGAAGTAATTCAGATCAGAGACCACGCGGTCGATCACAGATTCACTGATGCTGAGAGCCATGAACGTCGTGTGCGGCGTACTTTATTGGCCGTTACTCACCGTGTGTAAGAAGGTTTATGATGAAAAAATGCACATAATATTAAGAATAAGTAAAGAAAGAAACACGGACATTATTAAAACAGAGAGACGACTTGATGAGTAAGTAGCTCATAATTATAACGTTACCATGAAGGGAGCAGTGGACCTTAATGTGTCACTCAGCAAATAATTACAACCACTGATCAACATCTGCTGTCTATTCAATTAAATTGTATTTATAGAGCGCAGTATATAAAGTGTTTCTTTTCCTCATGGTATTGTGTGTATATATGTGTACATATACAGATAGAAAAAGTAACTGTTGGAAACATGAGTGGGGAGTCGGACTGTCAGTGGTTTTGAACATTAAACACTTAATTTTCTGATTTCTGGAGAATATTCTGCACCAGTTTGTGGTGGAAATGTCTTTATTCATATAAAAAGAAAACACAAAATTCAGCTGGCAGGTGATAATTCAAAATAATAATAATGCAGGAACCAGCAACAATGAAAATACTGTATGATGTTTTTAACTTGAGGCTGCAGTCCTGCAGTCTGACAGCCAGTCTATCAGGTCAACACTTCCTGCTGTGCTAATGAATGTCTTTTACAAACTGATGTCTGAACTGCACACACTTGAACAAATTAACTAAATAAAAAACAGGAGTAGATGTGGATTTAAAAAGAAGCACTGAGGAAAGAGAGGCGATCACTGCAAAGCACACGTGACTGTAGCACGATGTATTAATCATTGTTTTCTCTCCCAGCAGATGATCCCAGGGAGGAAAAACATCCCCTCCCTGTTGTTTCATGAAGACTCGGCACATTATAGCCTCCGTACTGAAGTGGGCCTGGAATTTGGGAGTTTTATACAATTATGAAAGCTAATGAAAATGATTTATAGCTCCTGTAAAGTGCGCGTGTGCCTACATTTCATTTTTCAGGCACGATCTAACATCACAGTTCTGTCACTTAAGAGCTGTGATATTTTTAGCCTCTCACACTTTCTTATTACTGTGCCCGAGTTACTTTTCCTTTTCTTTATCATTTTCCTTTACATGTGCGCGCGTCTCCTCCAAAGATGAAACCTTAGTAAGAAGCACAAACTGCTGTTTTAATGCAGGCTGATGGAAAACATGTGAAAAAACAGGAGAACAGGGAGTGACTGGGAAAAACCCACTCAGGATATCTGGGATATCCAGACTTAATCCGCTATCTTGGTTTTGTGAAACATTTATCTAAAGCGTCTAAATAAACGTTTTTACTTCCGCTGCTTTTATTGTGAAGGTCAGGAGTCACACCTCGTGACTTCCGCTCGTGATGTAAACAGTGAAGATGGCGGCCTGCTGTGTGCGTCGCGCTGTCCTCAGGTTCAGGTGTCCAGGAGGAAACGTGAGACAGATCTCAGCTGGAAGGTCAGTTTGTGTCAGACTCACCTGGACGGCAGGTGAGTCCCGCGTGCAGGTCCGGGTTCCGCCCGAACCGGGCACTGGGTCACAGACCGGTACAGGTCCAGAGACGACCTGCAGATCTGTCAGTAATCATTCCAGTTTATTTTATCTTCTCTCTAGATAGATACGGTGCTGAAACTGAATTAAATTAAAAAAACCCCTTTAATAATAATAATAATAATAATAATAATATGAACTAAAGACGTAGTTGAGGCGCTTGTTGCGGTCAAACTGCGACACCTGCTGGCAGCTGTTGGTATTACAGGCTCCATGTTGCGTTCACTGACCTGTTTCACGGCTCGTTGTCTTTTCTTTTTTATTATAATTATGTCAAATCCAACCATCAGGCTGCAGAGCGGCGGCTGTGTGACTCCGGAGTCTGTGCAGGGGACGCGCTCGGCATGCTGGGTAAAAGTAAGCAGCTGTGAGTTCATTGGTACAACTTTCCAGAGCTCACAGAGTGGAGGAGGAGGAAGAGGAAGAGTGCTGTGGGCGGCAGTCGGTACGTAGAGTCACAAAAAACATGCAACACTTCTTTATCCCTCATTTGCATAATCTATTATTTTACAACTTTAATGCTTTTACACCAAACTCCAGTCAGAAATCTGCAGATTTAAGACTTCCTTATTTTTTATCTGTGTGTTGTGTGTGTGTGTGTTGTGGGTGTGTGTGCGTGCACGCCATCAGCTTTTTCCCTGTTCGGCAGTACTGATGAAGACCAACGAGATGAAGCCAGCAGAAAGAGGATGAAATGATCCTGCTGCTGAAGAAGGCCAAGGTACTAAGACCAGTAACTGTAGAGGCACCAGCATTAGTACTGTAGTAGTATTAGTAGTAGTACTGCAGTAGTAA